ACGATTAGATTAATGAACTTAGAAAATATTCGATATTTATTAATCGCGACACAATTCTTTGAAACAAAAAAATGAAAAAGCGCAAAAGCAAATTATTACTTTGGTTTAGTTCCACTGATTGAAATCAATTCTCAAACAACGAAGATCATCTGAATTAGAAAAAAGATGTTATCTCAATCATTATGATTTCTTATTTCAACATTATCATCGCAATTGAGAACTCTCAAAAACGTCGAAAATTTTCGGATCAATCGAGAAAGTATTTTTCAAAAATTTTCATTCAAACTTCCAAGTTATTCGTTACCGTCTTCGGATTATTCCTGTGGATTTGAATAGCATCATTTACGAGCGAAGAAAAGAATTTTGATAGAAACTCAAAAGATTTCAACGACCGAATTTATACATCATTTCATGACTCTTCCACAAACGTTACAATACACTCAACGTTCACAATTAATCGTCAACAACTGACCATAATTCAACGAAACGTTTTCATTCTCTTATGCAAATGGATGCGGTGCATCATTCAAATAGAACGGCTTTGTTGATAATGAATTCAAATTAAGGGCAGTCATGAGTTTATCATTCTCTCAAGCAATCACCATTTCAAATTTCAACGTTAATCAAACATTCTCATCAAAACAATGATTGAACATAACGAAACAACTCGGTAGCGTACGAAGAAATCATGTTCTCGAAATAAGAATCATAATACAAGAATATTGTGATGAAAATTAATAAGCTGAAAGCAAAAATCCGAGAAAAAAAGCGACTCACACGAAAACGAAATGCTTGAAGCTTGAACTGAACTCGATAGCACAGTATTGTAATCAGAATTATTATTATTATTATTGTTATTGTAATTGTGACAAGTATATTGCAATATATTGTGCAATATTACGTTCAATAATCAATTATTTAATTTCACCAAAACGAACTCCTCAATGAAGCCAGCATTGCATCACCGTTTACTCCAAGTCGTTTCAATCTGCCGAATCAAAACAAAAAATCAACGACATTCTTATCATTCATTAATTTCCATGTGGCAATCCACAACTCATTCACATATGAAGTATTCAATAACTTACAAATGCTCAGTTCTTAGCAATCGACAACCACCTACCTATTAATTGAGAATTGTAAGTATAATAATTCACTCATCTACTGCACTCTACCCATCCAAATCATGCCACAACTCATGCATATCATTCAAATGCGCATATTTCAAAACACTCTCATCGCTCTAATGTATATCTGAACGTCTACAATCGCATTCCAAACACTCCAACAAGTAACCAACCATCAATCTGACTAATTGCTTCTACATGCGCACACTAAACTATTCGAACGACAAGTTAATGTTTTCACACAATATCCCACATCTGATTTTGTATCACTTCAGTTTCCTAGAGAAATCCCACATTACCCTTGTCCTTCCCTAACAATGCTGGTAAGCGATCGTGAATAACTAGATTCATGGATGATCCTTGATCGGGTATGCATTTGCTGTTTTCAAGGGTACATTTGAATTAGAAATCGAGTTCTAATTTCCTGACCTGAATAATAACTTGAAAACAGAAAACAGATAAACAAATACAGCTGCATAAATTGGCAAGCAATGCTGTTCGGCAATATTTTAAAACATCCACCAGAAATCAATGCACATGCAATTCATGCATCTTTGCGCAGCAACGAATCACTTTGCAGACACTCACCGTACAATCACAAATTCTGAGCATTTGATTTATGCTCAATTAAGATCAACTGTCGCAAGTGTTTTCACATGCATTAAGTGAATTTTACGTAAAGAAATGTTTCTTTTTGAAAAATATAATTATGGATAAAAAATGACCGACTGACATGTGTGGATAATTAGAATGAACTCAAACATGAAGACGTAATGAACGGTCAGAGATTCTGTGTCAGAGCGATGAATCAACTGTTAATGGCG